GGGATTGGGAATTCGGGATTGGGATAATCCACCGGGAACAGCGGCTGCAGCGTGCAGGGCACCAGCTGCTTCCCTGGAAAAACGGGAATTCGGGAATGTGGGAATGGGATAATCCACCGGGAACAGCGGCTGCAGCGTGCAGGGCACCAGCTGCTTCCCTGGAAAAATGGGAATTCGGGAATGTGGGATTGGGATAATGCACTGAGCAGGGCACCAGCTGCTTCCCTGGAAAAACGGGAATTCGGGATTGGGAACGTGGGACGGGGATAATGCACCAGGAACAAATCCGGGAATGTTGGGATGGACAGACGGGAATGTTTGGGATGATCCCAGCTCCAGGCTGGAATTCCAGGAGAGTTTGGGTGGGAAGAGGCTCCCGTGCCATGACCCCAATCCCAATCCCATCCTAATCCCAAATCCAACCCCAATCCCAATCCCAATCCCATCCTAATCCCAACCCCAATCCCAGCCTCATTCCCAACCTGGATCCCAATCCCAACCCCAATCCCATCCTAATCCCAATCCCAACCCCAATCCCATCCTAATCCCAATTCCAATCCCAATCCCAACCCCAACCCCATCCTAATCCCAGTTCCAACCCCAATCCCATCCTAATCTCATTTCAATCCCAATCCCAGCCCTGATCCCAATCCCAACCCCAATCCCACACAAATACCGGAGTCCCCCATTCCCAAAAATCCCAAAATTCCTGTGGGAATACTGGAGTCCCCCATTCCCAAAATTCCCATTGGAATACTGGAGTCCCCCATTCCCAAATACCCCAAAAATCCCAAAATTCCCCAAATTCCCACGGGAATACCGAAGTCCCCCATTCCCAACAATCCCAAAACCCCCAAATTCCCGCAGGAATACCGGCGTCCCCCATTCCCAAGTATCCCAAAATTCCCAAATTCCCAGAATTCCCGCGGGAGTACCGGAGTCGCCGGCGCCGGGCTCGGCCTCGGCGGGTTTCTGCTGCTCCTGGTTGGAGAGGAGATCCTGGATCTGCTGGAATTCCGGGAATGATTTCCGCCCATCCCGAACTTTTGGGGTTTTCCGAGGGATCCCAAACGCTCCCAAAGAACGGTCCCGGGGGGGAAAATCCCGGGAATGGGGCGGAGTCGGGACAGATGGGAGCGGTCCCGGAGCAGATCCCGATCCCGATCCCGATCCCGATCCCGACCCTGATCCCGACCCTGATCCCGATCCTGGTCCTGGTCCCGATTCCAGCCCCGATCCCGATCCCAATCCCATTCCCAGCCCTCATCCCAATCCCAATCCCGACCCTGATCCCATTCCCAATTCCAATCCCATTCCCAGCCCTGATCCCAATCCTGATCCTGGTCCCAATCCCAGACCCGATCCCGATTCCAGCCCCAATCCTAATCCCAAATCCCATTCCCAATCCTGATCCTGGTCCCGATTCCAGCCCCAATCCCGATCCCAATCCCATTCCAAATCCCACTCCCAATCCCAATCCCATCTCTGATCCCAATCCCAACCCTGATCCCAATCCTGATCCTGGTCTCGATCCATCCCCAGCCCTGATCCCGATCCCAATCCCAATCCCATCTCTGATCCCAATCCCAATCCCATTCCCAATCCTGATCCCAGCCCCATTCCCAATCCTGATCCCAATCCCAATCCCGACCCTGATCCCATTCCCAATTCCAATTCCATTCTCAATCCTGATCCCGATCCCAATCCCAAAGCCATTCCCAGTCTGGATCCCAATCCTGATCCTGATCCCATTCCCAGCCCTGATCCCAATCCCAGTCCCAATCCCAATCCTATCTCTGATCCCAATCCCAATCCCATTCCCAATCCTGATCCCAGCCCCAGTCCCATTCCCGGCCTGATCCCAATCCCAATCCCGACCCTGATCCCATTCCCAATTCCAATCCCAATCTCAATCCTGATCCCGATTCCGATCCCAATCCCAATCCCAAAGCCATTCCCAGTCTGGATCCCCCCGATCCCGATCCCAATCCTGATCCCAGCTTTGATCCAATCCTGACCCGGATCCCAATCCCGGCCCTGATCCCAATCCCAGCTCTAATCCTGATCCCAATCCTGACCCTGATCCCATTCCTAATTTCACTTCCAATCCCAATCTCAATCCCAATCCTAATCCACCCCAGGAAAATCCCAAAAATCCCAAATCCCACCCCAGGAATATCCCAAAAATCCCAAATCCCAAATCCTAACCCAGGAAAATCCCAAAAATCCCAAATCCCGCCCCAGGAATATCCCAAAAATCCCAAATCCAAAAAAATCCCAAATCCCAAATCCCACCCCATGGAATATCCCAAAAATCCCAAATCCCAGGAATATCCCCTTTTCCGTGGAGATTTGGGCCCCAAATCCCAGGATTTTCCCAGGGAATTCTGGAATCTGGGATTTGGGAATTCCAGAGCTGGGAATTATGGGATTTGGGAATTCCAAGGGCTCAAAAACTGGGATTTGGGAATGGGAATTCAGGGTCTGGAAAATCCAGGGTTTGGGAAAATTGGGATTTGGGAATTGCAGGGCTGGGAATTTGGGATTTGGGAATTCCAGGAGCTGGGAATTCTGGAATTTGGGAATGGGAATTCAGAGTCTGGAAAATCCAAGATTTGGGGAAATTGGGCTTTGGGAATTCCAGGGGCTGGAAATTCGGGATTTGGGAATTCCAGGAGCTGGGAATTCTGGAATTTGGGAAAATTGAGATTTGGGAATGGGAATTCCAAGGGCTTGAAAAATCCAGGATTTGGGAAAATCAGGATTTAGGAATTCCAGGGGCTGAGAAATCTGGGATTTGGGAATTCCAGAGGCTGGGAATTGCAGGGGCCGGGAATTCCAGGAATTCGGGGATTTTGGGAGTTGCAGGGGCCGGGAATTCCGGGAATTCTGGGATTTTTGGGAATTGCAGGGGCTGGGAATTCTGGGAATTCTGGGAATTGCAGGGGCTGGGAATTCTGGGATTTTTGGGAATTCCAGGGATTGGGAAATGGGGATTTGGGAATTGCAGGGGTGGGAATTCCAGGAATCCGGGGATTTTTGGGAATTGCAGGGACTGGGAAATGGGGATTTGGGAATTGCAGGGGTGGGAATTCCGGGAATCCGGGATTTTTGGGAATGGGGCTCACGCTGGCCAGGCCGCTGTCCAGGTCCGGCAGCGCCACCTCCGGCACGGCCACGGCCGGGCTGAAGAGCTGCGGAAAAGCGGGAACGGCGTCGGAATCCCGGGAATTCCCGGGAAAAACCCCACCCCAACTGGGAATTCCTGGGAAAACCCCGCCCCAACCGGGGAATTCCCGGGAAAAATCCACCCCAAACCAGGGAATTCCCGGGAAAAATCTGCCCCGAGTCTGGGAATGCTGAAATTCCCGGGAAAAACGCAGCCCCAATTCGGGAATTCCTGGGAAAAACCCAACCCAAACACGGGAATTCCTGGGAAAAATCCCAAATGTGGGAATTCCCGGGAAAAATCTGTCCCAAACCAGGAATTCCCAGGAAATTCTGTCCCCATCCTGGGAATTCCCAGGAAAAACCTGACCCAAACATGGGAATTCCCGGGAAAAATCCACCCAAATGTGGGAATTCCCAGGGAAAATCTGCCTTGAGACCGGGAATTCCTGGGAAAAACCTGATCCAAACATGGGAATTCCCAGGGAAAATCTGCCTTGAGAGCAGGAATTCCTGGGAAAAACCTGATCCAAACATGGGAATTCCCGGGGAAAATCTGATCTGAGTCAGGGAGTTCCTGGGAAAAATTCCCAACGTGGGAATTCCCAGAAAAAACCCATCCTGAGCAAGGGAATTCCTGGGAAAATCCGACCCAAATGTGGCAATTCCCGGGAAAAATCTGTCCCAAACTGGGGAATTCCTGGAAAAAACTCCAAACACGGGAATTCCTGGGAAAAATGTGTCCCAAACCAGGAAATCCCAGGAAAATCTGTCCCAAACCAGGGAATTCCCAAAATTCCCGGCTCAGGAAAAGTGGGAATGGGAATGGGGAGAAATGAATGGAATTCCCAAAATTCCCAGCTGGGGAAAAAGCGGGAATGTTGGGAATGCTGGGAATCCTGGGTGGGAATGTTGGGGATTCTGGGTGGGAATTCCGGGAATGTTGGGAATTTGGGGTGGGAATGTTGGGAATTCCAGGAATTCTGGGAATGTTGGGAATTTGGGGTGGGAATGTTGGGAATTCTGGCCGGGAATGTTGGGAACTTTGGGAATTCCGGGAACATTGGGAATTCTGGCCGGGAATGTTGGGAATTTTGGGGATTCCAAGTGGGAATGTTGAGAATTCCAGGAATTCCGGGAACGTTGGGAATTTGGGGTGGGAATGTTGGGAATTCCGGCTGGGAATGTTGGGAATTTTGGGGATTCCGGGAATGTTGGGAATTCCGGCTGGGAATGTTGGGAATTTTGGGGATTCCGGGTGGGAATGTTGGGGATTCTGGCCAGGAATTTTGAGATTTCTGGGCAGGAATGTTGGGAACGTTGGGAATTCCGGGAATGTTGGGAATTCCGGCCGGGAATTCCAGGAACGCCGGGAATGTTGGGAATTCCGGGAATGTTGGGAATTCTGGCCGGGAATGTTGGGAATTCCGGGTGGGAATGTTGTCAATTTTGGGACCATTGGGAACGTTGGGAATTCTGGCCAGGATATTCCGGGAACGCTGGGGATTCTGGCTGGGAACGTTGGGAATTCCGGGAATTCCGGGAATTCCGGGCTCACGTCGAGCAGGGCGCTGTCCATGCTGAAGCCGTGGGAGCCGAGCAGCGCCTGCAGCTTCTCCAGGCTGGAATCCACCGAGTCCAGGTGCTCGCTCAGCTCCGACCTGAACACCGGGAATAAACACCGGGAATGACGGGAATGGACACCGGGAATAACGGGAATGGACACCGGGAATAACGGGAATGGACACCGGGAATAACGGGAATGGACACCGGGAATAACGGGAATGGACACCGGGAATAACGGGAATGGACACCGGGAATGACGGGAATGGACACCGGGAACAGCGAGTCCAGGTGCTCGCTCAGCTCCGACCTAAACACCGGGAATAAACACCGGGAATGACGGGAATGGACACTGGGAATAACGGGAATGGACAGCGGGAAAACGGGAATGGACACCGGGAAAGCGGGAATGGACACCGGGAATGGCAGCAGGAANCTGGGAATAACGGGAATGGACAGCGGGAAAACGGGAATGGACACCGGGAAAGCGGGAATGGACACCGGGAATGGCAGCAGGAACAGCGAGTCCAGGTGCTCGCTCAGCTCCGACCTAAACACCGGGAATAAACAGCGGGAATGGACACCGGGAAAACGGGAATGGACACCGGGAAAACGGGAATGGACACCGGGAATGAACACCGGGAATGGACACCAGGAAAACGGGAATGGACACCGGGAAAATGGGAATGGACACCGGGAATGGACACCGGGAATAACGGGAATGGACACCGGGAATGGACACCGGGAAAATGGGAATGGACACCGGGAATGGACACCGGGAATAACGGGAATGGACACCGGGAATGGACACCGGGAAAGCGGGAATGGACACCGGGAATGGCAGCGGGAACAGCGAGTCCAGGTGCTCGCTCAGCTCTGACCTAAACACCGGGAATAAACACTGGGAATGGACACCGGGAAAATGGGAATGGACACCGGGAATGGACACCGGGAATAACGGGAATGGACACTGGGAATAACGGGAATGAACACTGGGAAAACCGGGAATAAACACCGGGAATGGCAGCAGGAACAGCGAGTCCAGGTGCTCGCTCAGCTCCAACCTAAACACCGGGAATAAACACCGGGAATAACGGGAATGGACACCGGGAATGGACACCGGGAATGGACACTGGGAATGGACACTGGGAATGGCAGCGGGAACAGCGAGGCTGGGTGCTCGCTCAGCTCCGACCTGGAAACCGGGAAAACGGGAATAAACCCTGGGAAAACCGGGAATAAACACCGGGAGACCTGGGAATAAAAACCAGAAATAAAAACTGGGAATAAACACCGGGAAAACGGGAATGGACAGCGGGAATGGCCGCGGGAACAGCGAGTCCAGCTGCTCGCTCAGCTCCGACCTAAAAACCGGGAATAAACACCGGGAATGACGGGAACGAAACTGGGAATGACACCGGGAACACCGGAACCACCGAGTCCAGCTCTGACCTCAGCCATTCCCATTCCCATTCCCGCTTTTCCTGAGCTGGGAATTCCAGGAATTCCAGGAATTCTGCCCCATTCCCATTCCCAGATTCCCATTCCCATTCCCATTCCCGCTTTTCCCGAGCTGGGAATTCCAGGAATTCCAGGAATTCTGCCCCATTCCCATTCCCAGATTCCCATTCCCATTCCCATTCCCGCTTTTCCTGAGCTGGGAATTCCAGGAATTCCGGGAATTCTGCCCCATTCCCATTCCCATTCCCATTCCCATTCCCATTCCCGCTTTTCCTGAGCTGGGAATTCCAGGAATTCCAGGAATTCTGCCCCATTTCCATTCCCAGATTCCCATTCCCATTCCCATTCCCGCTTTTCCCGAGCTGGGAATTCCAGGAATTCCGGGAATTCTGCCCCATTTCCATTCCCAGATTCCCATCCCCATCCCCATTCCCACTTTCCCCAGACCGGGAATTTTGGGAATTCCGGGAATTCCGGAGGGGCTGACCTGTCGAGGCAGGCGAGGCTCCGGCATTTTTCCGGGAATTTCTCGGGGCCGTTCCCGGGCGCGGCTCCGGAGTCGTTTTCCCGCAGGATGGAGTCGATGAAGGTGCAGGGCGACAGCGGCGTCTCCGCGCCCCCGGGGTTCCCGGGGGTCCCGGAATTCCCGGGATTCCCAGAATTCCCGGGATTCCCAGAATTCCCGGGGTTCCCGGGGTTCCGGGGCTCCTCCCCCCGCGGGCTGGGGGCGGGGCTGGGAGGCTCCTCCTTGATCTGGATGGGCGGGCTGCTCCGGCCGGGAATAACGGGAATGCGGGAAAAACGGGAATGACGGGAATAATGGGAATGACGGGAATAAAGGGAATGTGGGAAAAATGGGAATGACGGGAATAAAGGGAATGTGGGAAAAACGGGAATGACGGGAATAATGGGAATGACGGGAATAAAGGGAATGTGGGAAAAACGGGAAAGTGGGAATAATGGGAATGACGGGAATAAAGGGAATGTGGGAAAAACGGGAATAACAGGAATAATGGGAATGTGGGAATAAAGGGAATGTGGGAAAAACGGGAATAACGGGAATAAAGGGAATGACGGGAATAAAGGGAATGTGGGAAAAACGGGAATACGGGAATGAGGGAATGATGGGAATGTGGGAATAAAGGGAATAATGGGAAAAATGGGAATTTGGGAAAATGGGAAGGATGGGAATGTGGGAAAAATGGGAATATGGGAATAAACAGGAATAACGGGAATATGGGAAAAACGGGAATGCGGGAAAATGGGAATGTGGAAAAGGCCCATTCCCGAGGAATTTTTGGGAATCCCATCCCCGTTCCCAGGGAATTTTTGGGAATCCCATCCCCATTCCCAGGGAATTTTTGAGAATCCTGTCCCTTTCCCAGGGAATTTTCAGGAATCTCGGCCCCATTCCCAGGGAATCCCGTCCCACCTGCCCCATTCCTGGGGGAATTTCCTGGAATTCCATCCCAGGGAATTTCCAGGAACCCCATCCCCGTTCCCGGGGAATTTCCGGGAATCTCAACCCATTCCCAGGGAATTTTTGGGAATCTCAGCCCCGTTCCCAGGGAATTTTCGGGAATCCTGTTCCATTCCCAGGGAATTTTCGGGAATCCTGTCCCACCTGCCCTAATCCCGGGGAATTTCTGGGAATTCCATCCCCGTTCCCGGGAAATTTTTGGGAATCCCATCCCCATTCCCGTGGAATTTTCGGGAATTCCGTCCCACCTGTGTCCGGGGGAGGGGGCGGGGCCGGCCGGGGGCAGCTCGGCGATGACGTCATTGGTGACGTCACGGGCGGCGACGTCATTGGTGACGTCGGTGATGACGTCATCGGTGACGTCATCGATGCGGCGGGCGGGGCCGGGATCGGCCGGGAGCAGCGCCGGGCCCGGAGCCTGCGGAAAAAATGAACACCGGGAATGACACCGGGAATGACATCGGGAATGGGAATGAACACCGGGAATGACACCGGGAAAAACGGGAATAGCACGGGAAAAACGGGAATGGCTCTGGGAGCTCCCATCCCATTCCCAATGAATCCCATTCCCGTAAATCCCATTCCCAATAAATCCCATTCCCATAAATCCCATTCCAAATAAATCCCATTCCCGTAAATCCCATTCCCATAAATCCCAATAAATCCCAATAAATCCCAATCCAAATTAATCCAAATCAATCCCAATCCCAATAAATCCCATCCCCATAAATCCCATTCCCAATAAATCCCAATAAATCCCAATCCAAATTAATCCCAATCCCAATAAATCCCATCCCCATAAATCCCATTCCCAATAAATCCCAATCCAAATTAATCCCAATCCCAATAAATTCCATCCCCATAAATCCCATTCCCAATAAATCCCAACAAATCCCAATCCCAATTAATCCCAATCCCAATAAATCCCTGAACCCCTTCCCAATAATTCCCAATAAATCCCATTCCCAATGAATCCCATTCCCATAAATCTCACCCCGATCCCATTCCCAAGAAATCCCATTCCCATTATTTTTCTTAATAAATCCCAATAAATCCCATTCCTACCCATCCCATTCCCAATAAATCCCCATACATCCCATTTTTGATAAATAAATCCCAATCAATCCCAATAAATCCGATTTTTATAAATAAATCCCGATAAATCCCAATAAAACCAATTTTTAGAAATAAATCCCAATAAATCCCATTTTTTTATAAATAAATCCCAATAAATCCCATTGTTTTCCCAATCAATCCCATTGTTTTCCCCAATAAATCCCCTTATTATTCCCAATCAATCCCATTATTTTCTCTGATCAATCCCATTATTTTCCCCAATCAATCCCGTTACTTCCCCAATCAATCCCATTATTTTTCCCAATCAATCCCTTTATTATTCCCAATCAATCCCATTATTTTCCCCAATCAATCCCATTATTTTCCCCGATCAATCCCGTTATTTTCCCAGTCATTCCCATTATTTTCCCCGATCAATCCGGTTATTTTCCGGGATCAATCCGGTTATTTCTCGGGCCAATTCCGTTTCTCGGGAATGCCGCTCACTCCGTAGGGGGAATTCCCGCGGTGCTCCAGGGGGAAGGCGCGGCCGAACTTGGGCACGGAATGCGCGGAGCCGGCGTCGTTCAGCAGCAGCGGGCTGCAATTCCCAAAAAAACCGGGAATACCGGGGTGACATTCCCAAAAAAAAACCGGGAATACCGGGGGTGACATTCCCAAAAAATTCCCAAAGAAACCGGGAATACCCGGGCTGCAATTCCCAAAAAAAAACCGGGAATACCCGGGCTGCAATTCCCAAAAAATTCCCAAAGAAACCGGGAATACCTGGGCTGCAATTCCCCAAAAAAACCGGGAATACCCGGGCTGACATTCCCAAAAAAAACCAGGAATACCCGGGGTGAAATTCCCAAAAAATTCCCAAAAAATTCCCCAAAAAACTGGGAATACCCACAATGAAATTCCCAAAAAAACCTGGGAATACCCAGGATGAAATTACCAAAAAAACCCGTGAGTACCCACAATGAAATTCCCAAAAAATTCCCAAAAAAACGGGAAAACTCCAGGGCTGAAATTCCCCAAAAAATTTGGGAATTACCCCCTGGGAAATTTGGGAATTATCCCCGGAAATTTGGGAATTACCCCCTGGGAAATTCGGGAATTATGACGGAAATTTGGGAATGGGCTCTGAAAATTTGGGAATTTTCCCCGGGAGATTTCCTGGATTATCCCAGGGAGGAGCGAGCCAGGATTGGGAATGGGAAAATTGGGAAAATTTTGGGAATTCCAGGGGTTTTCCCAGGGATTTTTTAGGCTTTTTCCGGGGTCTTTTTAGGATTTTTCCAGGGGTTTTTTTTGGGTTTTTCCAGAGGATTTCCAGAATTTTTCCAAGATTTTTCCAGGGTTTTTCCCGAGATTTTCCCAGGATTTTTCCAGGGTCTTTTTTTGGGTTTTCCAAGAGTTTTTTCAGAGTCTTTTTAGGATTTTTTTCAGGGATTTTCCCAGGGATTTTCCCAGGATTTTTTCAGGTTTTTTTGGGGATTTTTCCAAGAATTTTCCCGTTTTTTTCCCAGGGGTTTTTCCCGAGATTTTTCCAGGATTTTTCCCAGCAGGGAGGGGGTTGGGAAGGGATTTCTGGAAGGAATTCCCAGAGAATCCCAGGAAAAACGGGAATTCCAGGAATTCCCTTTATCCCAAATTCCCAAATGCCAGCCCCGGGGGTTTTTGGGGTCCCGGCTCCGGAATTTTGGGGTTTTTTTGGGAATTTTGGGGATTTGTCTCACATTTTCCTCTTGACGCCCAGGATCCGGTTGGATTGCACCAGCGAGATCAGGAACTGGATCAGCTGCCGAGAGAAAACAGGGAAAGGGTCAGGAAAAACGGGAAAAAACGGGGGGAAAACGGGAAAAAACGGGAAAAACGGGGAAAAAAAAACCTGGGAAAAATGGGGAAAAATGGGGAAAAACTGGGGGGGAAAATGGGAAAAAACCTGAGAAAAATTGGGAAAAAATGGGGAAAAAAAAACCTGGGGAAAATGGGGAACAATGGGAAAAATGGGGAAAAAACTGGGGAAAAAAGGGGAATAAAGGGGGAAAAAAACTGAGGAAAAAACAGGAAAAAAGCTAGGAAAAACTGATAAAAATTGGGAAGAACTGGAGAAAACGGGAAAAAATGGGAAAACTGGGAAAAACGGGGAAAAAAACTGGGAAAATACTGGGGAAAAACGGGGGAAAATGAGGAAAAATGGGAAAAAACTGGGAAAAATGGGGAAAATGAGAAAAAATGAAAAAACAACTGGGAAAAATGGGAAAAAACTGGGAAAAATGGGGAAAAACAGGAAAAAAAATGGGGAAAAACCAGGAAAAAAACGAAGAAAAATGGAAAGAATGGGAAAAAACTGGGAAAAAACGGGAAAAAATGGGGAAAAACTGATAAAAAATTGGGAAAACTGGAGAAAACGGGAAAAAACGGGAAAACTGAGAAAAATGGGGAAAAAAGTGGGGAAAATGGGAAAAATTGGGGAAAGAACAGAGAAAAATGGGGAAAATGGGAAAAAACTGGGAAAAGTGGGGAAAAAAGGGAAAAAACTGGGAGAAAAAACTAAAGCAAACTGGGAAAACCGAGAAAAAATGGGAAAAAAACTGGGAAAAACTGAGAAAAACGGGGGAAAAAATGGGGAAAATGGGAAAAACTGGGAAAAATTCGGAATAAAGGGCAAAAACAGGAAAAAAACTGGGGAAATATGGGAAAAGACCTGAGGAAAACTGGGAAAAAAGGGGAAAAAAACTGGGAAAAACAGGGAAAAAAACTGGAAAAAAAGGGAAAAAACCTGGGGAAACTGGGAAAAATTGGAAAAAAACCTGGGGAAAACCTGGGGAAAAAAACTGGGAAAAAACGGAGGCAAACTGGGAAAAGTGGGAAAAACCAGGAAAAAAATGGGAAAACCAGGAAGAAATGGAGAAAACTGGGAAAACCGGGGAAAAAAACTCGGGAAAACACAGGGAAAAAACTGGGAAAAGTGGGGAAGAACTGGAGAAAACTGGGAAAAACAGGGAAAAAACTGGGAAAAATGAGAAAAAATGGGGAAAGATGGGAAAAAAAACTTGGGAAAATTGGGAAAAATGTGAAAAAAACAGGGAAAAAGGGGAAAAACCAGAAAAAACCTGGGGGAAACTGGGAAAAAGTTGGAAAAATGGGGATAAAATAGGGAAAAACTGGGAAAAATGGGAAAAAACGGGGAAAGAAACTGAGGAAAATTGGGAAAAACTCAGGAAAATTGGAAAGAACCAGGAAAAACAGGGAAGAACTGGGAAAACTGGAGGGGGAAACTGGGAAAATTTGGGAATTATGCAAGAAATTTTGAAATGGGCTCTGGAAATTTGGGAATGACCCAGGAAAATTGGGAATTACCCCCGAAATTTGGAAATGGGCTCTGGAAATTTGGGAATTACCCCCAGAAATTTGGGAATTACCCCCAAAATTTTGGGGATTACCCCCGGAAATTTGGGGATTACCCCCGGAAATTTGGGGATTATGCTGGAAATTACGCTGGGGAATTTGGGAATTACCCCTGGAAATTTGGGAATGGGGTCTGGAAATTTGGGAATTATCCCCAGAAATTTGGGAATTATGCCCAGAAATTTGGTAATTACCCCCAAAATTTTGGAATTACTCTGGAAATTTGGGAATTATGCTGGGGAATTTGGTAATTATCCCCGGAAATTTGGGAATGGGGTCTGGAAATCTGGGAATGGGGTCTGGAAATTTGGTAATTATCCCCAGAAATTTGGGAATTACCCCTAAAATTTGATAATTACCCCCAGAAATTTGGGAATTACCCCCGGAAATTTGGGAATCACCCCCGGAAATTTGGGAATTTCGCTGGAAATGTGGGAATTACCCGGGGAAATGTGGGAATGACTCTGGAAATGTGGGAATGACGCGGGAATTCCGGCGTTACCTTGTTGACGACCTTCTGCTGCTGCGCGTGCTTCTGGCGCAGGGCGGCCACCTCCCGCCACAGGGCCTCGTTCTCCCTGCCCGACACAATTCCAGGGAAAACAGCGGGAAAATTCCCTCAGGAACGGGGGAGAAATTCCATGGGAAACGGGGGAAAGTCCATGGGAAAACGGGGGAGAAATTCCCTCAGGAACGGGGGAAATTCCATGGAAAACGGGGGGAAAATTCCAGGGGAAAACGGGGGGAAAATTCCCTCAGGAATGGGGGAAATTCCATGGGAAAACGGGGGAGAAATTCCAGCAGGAACGGGGGAAATTCCATGGGAAACGGGGGGAAAATTCCGTCAGGAACGGGGGAAATTCCATGGAAAACGGGGGGAAAATTCCATGGGAAACCGGGGGAAAAATTCCGTCAGGAACGGGGAGAAATTCCATGAAAAACAGGGAGAAATTCCATGGAAAACGTGGGAGAAATTCCATTAAAAACGGGGGAGAAATTCCATCAAAAACTGGATCCTGGAAACCCCAAATCCAGGAATCCCCAAATCCAGGAAATCCCAAATCCAGGAATCTCAAATCCAGGAACCCCTGAATCCTGGAAATCCCAAATCCAGGAATCCCTGAATCCTGGAAATCCCAAATCCAGGATACTCTCCCATACATCCCAATTTTCCCATTTATCCCACTATTCCCATTTATCTCATTTTCTCATTCCCACTATTCCCTTTTTTCCCATTCCCATTTATCCCATTTTTCCCATACCCTATTTTCCCATTTATCCCATTCCCATCTCTGTTCCCATTCCCATCGATCCCATTTTTCCCATATACCCCATTTTCCCATTTATCCCACAATTCCCACTTATCCCATTGTTCCCATTTATCCCATTTCCATTTATCCCATTTTCCCACATATCCCATTTTTCTCCTATATCCCATTTTTCTCCTATACCCCATTCCGGGATTGGGATGGCAGCTGAGCCCCAGATCCCGAGGGAATTCCGGGATTGGGATGGCAGCTGAGCCCCAGATCCCGAGGGAATTTCGGGATTGGGATGGCAGCTGAGCCCCAGATCCCGAGGGAATTTCGGGATTGG